AGAATCATTGTACTGATTATAACATTTAGGAGGGAGTTCAGTTGTTTTTAAGATCAGTGACTCAATACAGTGCCTTCCTTTTTTCTCTTAGCTCACCCTCCCAGTCCATCTCCTAATCATCACCCTGACAGGACACGCACACACTGCAATCCATACTGCTCTTAGACAACACTCTGGAAAAGGAAATAATAAAAATGCATTCAGTTTTGGTGTAGAAATCTCCTTCTCCTTCCCTCTTCACAAACGAAGGAAGCTGTGAAAATCTTTTGTGCATTCAAAGGGCAAAAAAAGAACAAAGCAATCTCTATTGCCAGACTGGGCAACAGTAAAAAGGGAGGGGGTGTTACATCAGGCCTTGAAAAACACTGAACACCCACTAACTGAAGATAAACAAGATATGAACACTGCTGTGCCCTCTCAATAGGCTCCAGCACAAAAATTTCACCACAAAGTGCTAGAAATTGAGGGAAGACCAAGTATTGCAGGAAGTAAGGATCCAGGTCCTGCTGCTCATCTGCTGTAATACTTCCAAAAGCTCAGTGCCTGAAGACAAATTTCTTGGTATTTATTAATCTCTTACACACATCAGTATACACTGGTGATGGGCAAACAGCTCTTCCCATATTCATTCCCCCCTCTGGTGCCACAGGAACTTTTGTCACTACCCAGTCCCATTTCCTTGCTGGAATACAGACAGGAAGCGAGGGGAAAACGGGTATTCCACAACCTCTTGCCTCTCACAGTCCATTCCACTGGTAGGGAATTAATTTCAGCTCCTATTTAATGCAGAAAATCACGAACACCTTTCTGATGCAGCAGCACTTGTGGATTTGAGTAACGGCGGGACCAGACACAGCTCTGCCTTCCTTCAGTTACTGCAGGAACTTGACAAAGAAAGTTTCCCTACTCACTACTGACAGGCATTTTTTTAAAAAAAAAATTGCAAACCCTTTGAAAGAGCATTTCCATCTGGCACTTATCCCACATTTCACATTAAAATTGGTTTTTCCAGGATGACAGTATTCATTTTCTCCCACAAAATTTTCAGTAGAGGCTCCTTTCAAAGATAACACACCTCTATCTGAAACACTGGCTCAGCAAGACTATTTAAGACATTCAAAGAGAACTAAATAAAACTACATATGGTTATAGGTGTGGGCATTACTGAAGAAAAAAAGAAGTTGTTGGAAGAAATAACTTACAAGAACAGTGACAAAATACAATTCGTGTATTTAAAACTATGAAAGAGATGGGGAAAAAGTGTAGGTTTCCTTTGTAGAACATCTTAATGAAAGAAAGTAATTGCAATCAGTTCCACTTGTAATTAAAAGAAAAATATAAACCTACCTTAAAATCTCAGATTTATATTTAACGAAACAATAAATACAGAAAAATGAGAATTAGTTCTCATCTCTTCAAAACAACATAATTAACGAGATGTCAGTCACCGAGAAAAGCCCTGTTTTGTGTGTTTGCCAATGCCCAGTAATTACAGCTGGCAAGTCCATTTTTTCAAGGTATTTCTAACACAACTGAGACAATTTTTTTAAAAACAGTCAAACCCATAATAAATCTTTATCATTTTATGAAGCTCCAATGATTCAACGACGCATGCTGAGTTATGCACAGAAAGGAGTAATCAAGCCTTACACTCCTGGACAAAAGGGAAGCACTGCTGTGGCCAGGAACCAATTTACATCCAGGCAAAGACAGAGGTGTGAAAGGATTTTTCTTCATGCCAAATTCTGTATTTTCAGATATGAAATGAGGTGTGTGCACAGCAGCTGGACACTGCACCACGAACACACCTGTGCTTGGGAAGCCACCTTCGCAACACAGAGAAAGGCCCAGGTCTGGCACACGGACAGGATGGGATCAGCCAACTTCCAAACTGGACACCTGCTCACTCCTGGGCACAGCTCTGCTGCACCACTCTCCTCGGGTCACAAAAGGCACATTTTTCCTAAAAGCACTAAAGCACTGGCCAATTTTATGCAGAGCTGCATTACCGTAATTAAAAATAAACCACGGCAAGACTGTTGCTCGAAGTGTAAGTAATGAAACATCCACAGGGAAGAGAGCAGCACTCCTGAGTCTGGAACTGGATTTTCGCTCTGTCCATAGCTCCCAATGCAAAGTGACAGAAACCTCAAATACATGAGGACATGAGTGAATAGAGACACAAAATTACAGTGTTTTGAGCCTCACGTCCTTGTTCTGTTACAAGCTCAGTACTGTAAGAAAGAACTTCCACTCTTGAAACCCACCTGGGAAACAGTGAGGAACAACTTAAATCCCAACTTCATTCCCCTAAAATATGCAACCTAAAGAAGAGTAAATCCTCCCCCCAGCCTCTGTCAAAAACCTTCCCTTTAGACTATTGCCATGGCAAAGACTCTCATTCAGAAAAGCAAAGGAGTTCACGATCAAAATAACATACAACTGACATTTCCTTCTTTAAAGAAAGCTGACAAATCCCAGGGTAGTTATGCATTTATAATTTCATTCTGCAATTAAAACACACTAAGACAACAGTTCACTAGACATATTTAATTGAACTACATTAAGCTGCCTAAATCTGTAACCACATTCATTTACCATAACAACACTTAGTCAATCCTGTAAGTCAGAAGAGTTGTCTTTCTGCTGCTGTTTTAAAGCAGAGCACACCATTGCCTGAATTGGGCTTGTGACACAAAATAACATCTAAAAGGCAGAAGACCCAGCGCAAATATTGGTTCTTGACAGAGAAGTGACAGAAGAGAGAAGAAGGGGTTTGCCAAAGTCTCAACATGTGGCAGAACAGAAATCTCCATTGGGTTCCAAGTTTTGAAAAAGTAATGGGAAAGATTTCCAGGACCATTCAGACAGGAATATTACTTCTCCACATACAGCACACACCAAGGTCAAAAGCTGTGATTTAACTCCTTTTTTTTCCAACAAATCTAAGAAACAACTCTGGATGATATCACTAGATTTAAAATGCAGGGTGAGTATCACAAATTGCTGCAGTGGTCAGGTCAATAGAGCTGATACACAGGTAAATTATTTGACATATTCTGGTCGTTATCCATGACAGCACAAAAAACCAAGAATTATACGAAGAAGCTGCACCCCGTCTCTCTGATCCAGTGCCAGCTAGGCCCAAGACAGCGTCAGGACACCGAAAAAAAATGCCCTCTCATTTGCTACATTTCATGTCTTCCCACAGGAACTGGTCTCTTCCTCCTCGTTCTATTTCCTGTACACAGCCCGAGCCCATTGTCACCAGGTGCAAACACACACACACAATCACTCACTCCCCGACTCACCAGCCTGCGCTGGCCCCGATCTCGCCGTGGGCAGAGGTGACCTGCAGCCTCTCAGCCTCACCGAGGTGCTGCCCCTGCCCGGGCCCGGCGGATCGCAGAGCTCGGCTCACACGGAGCCCCCCGGGACAGCGGGTGTCAGACCCGCCGGGGCTCCAGCGCTGCCGTCCCGCTTCCGGCGGGGGGATCCGCGCAGCGCGGCCGCCCCGTCCCTCCTCCCTCGCCCCTAATCCCTCCTCCTCCGCCGCGCTGAGCCCTCAGCCCGCAGCCCCTCCGCCGCTGGGTGCTCGATGCCCGCCCCCCCCCGCAGCCTCCGCCGCCGGCGCCCCCCGCCCCGCCCGGGACCCCCTCCCCGCCCGGCCCCGTTCGGCCCGGCCCGGCCCCCGCCGCGGCCTCGGTCCCGCGCTCACCAGGAGTAGGTCTGCTCCGCCATGGCTGCGGCCGGCGCTGGGCTCTGCGGGGCGGCCGGGCCGGGGCTCCTCCTCCGCCTCCTCCTCCGCCTCCTCCTCGCAGGCTCCCGGGGCTCAGTGGCGGCCCCGCTGCGGCTCCCGGCCCAACATGGCGGCGGCTGTGAGGAGGGAGGGGAGCCGAGGGGGGGTCCCCGCGCGGGCGGGGAGGGCGATGGTGGCGGCGGGGCAGGCGGGGGCTCAGCAGCC